AGGGACAAAAGTAAAATTACACTGCATTTAGGATATGAATGCGAGTGAAAATAAAAGACCTGTTGTGCCAATAGTGTGTTGTAATCGAAGACGAATTTAGTACCAATGCTAAAACTACTTGACTCTGACAGAGCTTCCTGTGGGCGTTTGGTTTTAGTTTTATGCACACCCTCAAAAAAAAAACCCTATGCTGCAGATTTCTCTAGAAAAGACACATCGATAGGAAGCTGTAACAGGAGGATGACGAATGCTGACGAGACATCTCAGAACAATCCATCTGTCCCATTAACCACTGTGCGTTTCATTCAGCGTTAGCTCCCACTCAGTGGCTAAGTTTACCCTTCAGGACTCCCATCCCCCTCCTGCTGCTTTCCCACATGGGTGCTTGCTCAGGCAACAGCAGTGAGGGAAGGCAAACACTACAGTACAGATACACAAACACAAGCAGGACTGTGTGAGCGGCAGCTCACCTTGGCACTGAGGTCAAAATCAAAAGGAGATACGACAGGAGCCAGAGTAATGAGTGGCAGAGGAGTTTCTGTGACTTCAGTTTAATTTACATATGAGCTACAAGGTAAAATCAGTACAGTCAGGGGTTTTTAAACATTTGTTTGCTTCAAAGGTGAGTAATCTGATAAAGTCAGGGTATTATGCAAGTGCTTCATTTTCCTGTTGCTCAGGAAATACATTCAAATGAAGTGACAATTAAACTTCACTATTAACTCAAAGCAATTCATTTCTCCTCTTTCTGTAACTGAAGACATTTCAAACAACATATGTACACAACAAACCTTATTCGACATGTTACCACCATGGAAAACTACAGCCGAAGGAAAACTACCTGCTTATTTCTAGTCTACGACTACAACAGCTGTTTAAACTCAAGGTAAATGGGTTATTTCAACAATCAAATTCAATAACTGCCAATTCAAAGAAAATGATGGACAAATGTCATCTCTTCTCTACTGGAATAAGTCCAGTGGTAATTTCCGTTTTACTAACAGCTAAACTAAACTTTTCTGCCGTCATCTCCAAATCATCTTCTCCAACTCAAATGGAAACAATTATTCAAGCATCATGTTCTCCTCTTTACACTCAAATCTACTCTGTGACTCCTTTAGGTGTCAACTTAGATGAGTAATTAGCTCAGCGGATATACGACGACCTCGCGCGGTGCTGCGTGTTTCATCTGTTCCACCTCTGTGTCTCACAAGCTGGACAACCATTTGCAATAAGAACAAATTGGTCTTGTTTTAACCACTAAGTGTAAAAGAGGGTTGTTGTGTGATTCATTGATACGCAGGAAGCACAAAGCAAAAACATCCTCCCATGTCTGCACAGAGAACTTAAAAAGACTGAACATCCTGATAAAGGAGGCTGGTTCTGGAGATTGTCGTGCAAAGTAGGATTCCTTATAAAAATCAAGAAAATTACAAACAACCCTGAGCATCCTCTTCATCAGACTGTGATCAGAGGCTTCTTCGGTGAAAATGTAACACAGACCACTACAGGAGATCCTTACTACCCACAGCATCTACAGCAACTCCTTAAGGAAAACTGTAACAACAATATGACGTAACATTTAATTTCCCTCTGGGATTAGTAAAGTGCTTTTGAATTGAACCTGAGGTTCTGTTATGCTTCAAGTTTGAACTAATGCAGTGACGTCCAGCAGTTCTCCTCAAAAGCCATTACTAAACGACTTCTAGATGCATCCTTCTCCAACACATTTGATCATTGGAGTTAATCGACTACCTGCATGTAGACACTGGACCTGAAACATACAGGAGCTTATAAAAAATATTCAAACCTCCATAAACCTTTGCAAATAAAAATCTGATTAGCGGAGTGTGCCTTTGCATTCAGTATTTGTGATTAAACTCTTAGCAGAACCGTCGTTCACTGCACTTACAGCAGCAAGTTCTCCCTCCTCTACAGACTTAAAGATTTGCCCATTGTTCTTTGCAAACAGCTCTCAGCTTAAGGCATTTTTGAAGTCCAGACTATCAATTGCAGCTCTGACTGTAGATCAAGGATTGTTATCCTGCTGGAAAGCAAAAATCCACTTCTGTCTAAAGTTTAGAGCTCCATCAACTCCAACCAGCTTCCCTGTTTCTCACAGGATGATGCAGCCACTACCATGTTTCGCTGAGGGAGTGGTGTGTTCAAAGTGATTACAGGTAGGTCAAAGGGTTCACACGTCTACTTCGTCCCTTATGTGGCTTTCAGCCTTCATGAACCTGTTTGTTCATGAATGTTGTCAAGGTGTTTTGATGTATTGAAATTTGTTGTTGTAATGTGACGAAATGCGGAAAAGAGGAGAAGCTTCAGAGGTACAAACAGATCCAATGCAAAGAAATCTCAAAAGGCAAACCTATGAGGGACTCCAAGAATGTTCTTAGGTTAAAATGTGATTTAAAGAAGTGAAGCTTTTTTCTCAGAAAGAGTTACGTCTTCCTTATAATTAAACCAATGGGACAAAAGGTGAGCCTTTCCCTGGACTCTGTTGCAAACTGCATGTGCGCACCAATTTTCTGCAAAAATCACTAAAAATATTGTCAACAAATAATCAAATAAATGTTTAAATTTAGTCAGCCGAGTAGCAAGAGTTAAGAGTTACAACCACATCAGAACTAGATGCGACTCTTTTACGTGGTGCAGCCACATACATGAAGCTAAAGTGGCCTCATCAGGTAAAGGTGACAGGCAGCGTCTCCTCATCCACCTGTGCAGCAGGTTTGAATCACTTTCACAATCTACGTCTTTGATTACACAACAGACAGACATTTAGAAACAGTCACACGTACCAGCTGCAGGACTTATGAGTCTCATTAGTTTCGTTTTGACCGAGAGCTTTTAGCACTAAAAGTGCAATGCATGTTCAATGAGTTTATGCTCATTTCCAGAGACCAGACGTCTAATAGTTTAAACACCACGGCTCCTCCACTCTGGATGCACTTCACAGGCAAATAAAACACCGACTGTGGTGCACGCTTATCAAAGCAAAGTCTGTTTCAGATCCCAAAATACTGGAGAATCTGAACACCCAGAGAGCTGCTTGTTTGGTTACTGATCCTCGTCTGAATCTCGTGTTTCTCTCGCACTGGGGAGTAAGATGCACTGTAGCTCCCAGTATGACTTACTGGTTAAAGAATGTAACCATTCAAGGTGGAGTTCAAGCTAAATGCACCTATTTTAAAAGGAATATCACAATAATCAGTTTACGTAGACTTAATTTATTAATCGAAGAACAAGGCTTTAAAAAAAACGAGAAGGAGCAAGAGAGAGAAAGAGAGAGAGAAAAAGGACAAAATGTTTGTAATGGAAGAAAGGTGGTCAAACTGGAAGGACTGGATTCGGAGAGGAATGAATGGTGTGACTCCTCAGACCTGAAACTCACTTTCAGTCTCTGATTTAAGGACAAAGTTGAAGTTAATTCACAAATATTGTCCAAAAAACAAATATCCAACACAGTTTAACAAATCTTGAACATGCTAGTTTCGTGGGTTTATATAAAATGTTTTGACTTAATCTGTGTCAACAAACCAATGTGAATAAATCTGTATTGTGAAAATATTCTATTAAAATACCTACAGTATGAGCTCACATAGTGAACTTCTCCAAATTACATCTTCATTGTAAACAGAAAATGGTTTTTTTCCACACATGTAAGTTTTGGAGCAGGAAACCTACAGCTAAACATGTTGCAGCTAATTCCCATATTTATATTATTGGTTCCATTAAGCAAGCACTGAAACAAGCATACTCTTAATATAAGTACATAAATGTGTATGCAGTCCCTTGTGATTATCTATTTAGTAATTTAATTAAAAAAAAATAACTCTGTTTTAAAGAGATTAATACTTTATTGTGTATTTTTATAACAGGTTCAGCAAAATGTGTTTAAAATTACTTCCAGTCTTTGTTAAGATCTAAATTAAGATTAAATTATCATCAGACATCTCAGAGCCTGGACCATCTCCAGAGAGGTGATCTGATGGGGCAACTGGTGCCACTGGGCTTGTATAACAAAACTAAAATTCAGAAATCAATGATATTTCAGGAGTTTCTTTATGATATCGCCATACAAGCATAAAATTCAGCGACTTATTAGATGCTTCCTGACTAATTAGACATCTGAATACCGACAGTGATACATTACTACATTAATAAATACAATACTGTATGTTCATATCTAAAAAGAATGCATCGTAAACTTTATTTTAGCATTTTAACACTAATTTTTAGCACTAACCAATGAAAATATAAATCAAGATATCTAGTTTTTAAGCTTTTATAAACATTCCAAAAAGAAATTAGTAAAAAAAATAAAATAAAATCTTCCACCAAATTGCATGAGACAAGTAAATGATTCCTTACAGCAGGTTCTTGAGGAAATTACCAAGTTTGATTTAAAACAGGAAGAGGCATCAAACATTTTCAAGTTAAAATAGCATACTATGAAGTACAGAAAAAAATGACATAAGGATAAATAAATATTGCACCTTTCTAAAACGTGAACTCTCCTTTTGTAAACCCGTACTGGCAACATAATATGGTAAAGGTCTGGGAGCATGAGCAAATTTCTTGAGGTGGTAAATGCCTCCGCTCAGCCCCCCTTGGTGGCGCCACTGCACAGAACTCACTTTGTAGAGTTTTTTTTTTTCCCCCTACTGAAACAAATACATTTGGGCTAAATCCAGTGCTGGAAAGTGAATGACGACATCTCTAAATTGTTGCAGGTAATTTAAATTAAATAATAAAAGGTTGAATTTTTGTGTTTCAGGTTTAAATGTGCGTGGTGAAGCTGTGAGGCCTTCGGTACACCTGGTTTTCTAATTAAAGCTTTATTTTCTGACTTAAATTGTTGGCTGTAAATGTGGCCTATGCGGTAAGCAACGCAGAAAGCCTTTAAAAAAAAAAAAGAAAAACCCGCAGGTTTCCACTCCACTGCCTGATAAAAGCCCTGCACTCTCCTTGTCCGTGTGTTGTTTTTTTACCTGCTGCTTGTCAAAGTGGTCCCTCTCCGCTCCGAGGTGATGCTCGGTCCTCCTGCTCTTCACCCGCGTATGAATGTTCATCCTTCTGCCTGCACAAAGACGCTTTCACCGAGAAGAAGGGCAGTCCCTCCGCTGCTTTCCGAACCGTCCAGGGGAGCTCAAAGTGCGGGGGTTTCCTCTCCTGTCCGCCGAGAGTGTCAGGGACATCTCCGAGCTGCGGCTCCCTTTACTGCTGATGCGCCGCGGCTGAAGGAAGCAGGAAAAGCAAACGCGAGGGTGAGTTTAGCATTACGTGGACGGATCCACCCACAAAAGGTGGGGGTGGGGGGCGGAGGGAATCACCACCATCGTCATCATCGTTCATCGTGTCCTCTAGCGAGCACATCCACCTACAGGCAGGTTGTTTTCAGATCAGCTTCTTTTTTTTTTTTTTAATCCATCTGTGTTTTTTCTATTGTTCTGCCCTCTCCATCTGTATTCATGGGCGCCATTCAGATTATTATTATTATTATTATTATTATTATTATTATTATTATTATTATTATTGCGCGATTATTTCTCTAATCCTGAGGTTTCATCCGGTTAAAAAGAAACGAAAGGAAAAAAAAAACTACAAGTGATGACACAAACCAGGAAATGAGAATCAGATGATGTGGGTGGACTGACACGACACCTTCAGTGGCGCGTGTGACTGTCGGATTTCAATTATAACACATAATTACCACATCAAATTAAATGAAGGCTCACTCTGGGTTTTTTTTTAATGGTGCTTAAAAGAAAACGGGATCCTCTAACAGTGGGGACTTAGCCCAGCCCCCGAAAAATTATATATTTTCATAAAGTTAACACTCAAATAAAGTCACATAGACTCCATCTTTGATCCCCCCTCCCCCCTCTCCTGTGTGTATATTAGATTTAAGTTTAAACTCTGAAAATACCATTCTAATACAGAGATATGCCTCGATCGAAACCATGTCACTGTAGCGCTGCTTTGTTTAAAGTTTTTTCCAGCCTCTGAGCTTTTGTTCTTACTTAATTTAACTCCATCCTTTTGCCTTCAGCTTCCCTGAAGAATATGACTCCCCCAGCATGAGTCCTTTGCCTGACAGGACTGCTTGGGGTGCAATAATTGTTTTTTCCAAAAGTTGCATTTTTCCTGCTAATGTAATATTTAGTAATTTAGCCAGTTGGACAGAGTTTCTGGACAAAGCAGCGGATGATAATGCTGGATACAAATTACACCAGCCAAAATACTAAAGGTCACAGAGTGATAGAAGCACAGATAGAAGAGCAGAGACACCATCACTGAAGTCATCATTTAAGTGTTTACCAATGTCACTGCAAAATCTTCCAATACGCAATGCTCAAAAATTTGGTTTTGGTTATAAGTTAGGGTGAAATTCATCCTATTGTAGCCTGTCAGTTTTATTCTCTGCTGCTGTTTAGATTCGTCTACACTTCCTCATTATTTTGTAACCTTTCTTTGATTTGCTTTTTAATGGTTTACCACAGTGGGTTGTGTTTCTTGCTCTTTCATTTTCATGCAAAACGTTGACTATGCGTACTGATCTTCGATTTACTTTTTACTTTCTGCAGAGTTTGAAGACTAAACAAGGAAAACTGTATTTTTCATGTACACTAATGTACATGAAAAATATCGCTTACAAGTTTGTCCAACTGGAATTTCTTGTTTAGTGTTTTTTTGGGGCTGGGTGGAGTTTCAACCGTGATGGTTTTGTTCACAGGTATGCAGGTGAAGGAAGCACAACGGCTGGTGGGACAACAGGGGGTGGACACGACAGGGACATGCTGTCTGTCCTGCAGGCCAAACCGGCTCTTTCAGATTTTTCCGCCCCTGTCTGAACTCTACGCAAACATTACAGGGCAGAATCCAATCCAGTGAGGCAGAAGGAGTAGCATCCATGGATGAACAGCCCACAGAAATGCATGATTCATTCAAAGAATGTGGCGGACGTTACGGCGGGCGAATGAAGTCACGCAAGGACGGCTTTTCGCAAAGAGAACAGTAGAAAGGTGGAAAGTTTACCTGTTTTCACTTTTCGTCCTTTACACTTTTTTACTCATGTTTTTTTGGGGGGTTATTTATGCAGTGATAAGTTCTTGGATATTTTATAAGTCCCTTTACTTCATTTTTAATCAAATGTAATACATTTGTGTTTTCAATGTGCCTTTAAACTTAATAAAGCAATCCGTCTTGTTTCTAAGTTTACCCTATATTACAATTTGAAACTATTTCTTAGATTCAATTATTTTTATTCTCTTTCTTGGTGTTAAAATTCCTTCAAAGTGTCACGCTTGTCTGCCTTCCATTATGTGAAAATATTTTTTTTCATTTACCAAAAAACTCCCAATGTACATACATATCTGCGATGGAGAAGGGAAAAAGAAATCATATATTTTTCAATGACTATTTAAGATTTTGGCCAAATTCTAAAAATGGTTCAGTATTAGTTTTCCTGCCATTTTTTATTTTTATATGACTTGGTTAAAACAAGTGGCGCCAAATCTAAGCACTTTTCTCAACTCTTCTCTAAATAATGGAATAACAAAAGTGAGGTAATTATTAGAACTGCCAAGTAAGGAAATATTTCAGAAAATGTGTGTGCTTGCTATGGAGAGATCTAAAATATATAAAAAAGAGTTAAATTGCTGAAATTGGCATTGATTGGTTGAAAATTCTTAAGCTTTATCAATATTTTTCAGGTATGTTGCATTAATGATGAGATTCATAAAACAAAGGAAAACCTCTCGTTGATGGACAAAATTTCTATCACAATGTTTAAGAGAGTTGCTCAGTACAAATTTGTTTAGCAAATAAACTGATTGCAAAGGTTAAAATGACTTCAAATGGTTTCTCCTTTTTGTTTGACCCCCAGAAGTTACTTTAGAAAAATCTGCAGTTTTAAGCTTTGTCCACTAGGTGGCAGTAGATACTTCTGCGGCAGCCTTTCGAAATCTGACCCTCAGATCATCTGAACGCGTAAAGCTTTTTTAATTTATCTCCACCAGCGGGCAGTAAAACATCCTTTAATCTGCCTCTAACCTGATTTCACGATGCAAGCCAGAAACGGAAGCAACATTTTAATTAAGATTGGACAAATTCAATGACAAAGACTCTGCTGAGTGCCATAATGAAATGCTGAGCAATTACACTTCTCCTGAGATTTTCCAGTCTCTGTTCTGGTTCAGTCAGCAGGTTTCTGGCTGCTAACAGGGATCCGATGTCTTTCACTCAAAGGATCCTCAATCATTTGCTGGTTTTGTTACGTTGTTAGGAAGCTGTGCTTATTTGAGATATAAATTCAGATACTGAAACCCAAATCAAGTCATTAAATCCCCGTAGTGTATCAAATCATTGCTCTCATTGCTGTTTTCAATAAGCCTGCAGAAAAAACTGAATCGTGTTGGATAATGAATCCCAGAAACAATAATAAATATTTATATATGTATAATTTAAATTAAAAAAAAGAAAATTAATATTTATACAAATGATGCAGCAATCAGTTAAACACACAAACAATTAAATGTGTAAGCTATTAACTAACATTAAATTCATGGTGAGTTACAGTTGCATATCATTCTTTTTATCTCTTGTGTTAAAGTAGAAAGTAATTTAAACTATGAATGTTCAAAAAGTTTAACAGCAAACCAATCACTTTGTATGCAACAGTGTTAGCCTTTGATTATACATTGCAGCACTATGAGACAATTTAATAAATCATTTTATTAATTGCCATTTTTCATAATTATCCTGAGGACATAATGTAAATCCAGATACATATTGACTTCTACAGGTTTTGTTTCCAACATAAACATAGGCTACAGTCTTCAACATGGTGTTCCCTGGTTCGGGGAATTCACTGCATGTCGTCTCCTTCTCTCCCTGACCTCCTTCCTGTCAAGCTACTGTTGAATAAAGGCTGCAAAAAACCTTAATGAAAAAGGTTTTAGCTAGTTTATATTTAAAAATCTGATTTACATGTAAATAAGAAGAACCTCATTGCTTCTTGAAAACCTCAAACCGCACAGTTAGCACTTTTTTTCTCTGTTGGTCTTCCTTGTAGAGTGCAGATTGCCCTTCTGGAGCTCATTCTCTCATCTGCAGGCATCAAAGCAACACCAAACACCAACATGCTGTGCAACTTCAGTGGACCGGTGCTGATCAGAGAGCTCTCCCTCCACTGCTGCAGAACAACAAACCCAATGTTTTGTTAATGTTTAGCCCTGATCTCTGTCCTATGGAGAAGTTGTGAAAAGGTGTGTGCGACCGAGCTGCACCAGTTCTGACAGGAGGGACGGACCTGAAGTCCAGCAAACCACTGTGAGAAGCTTGAGGAAGGAAACACAAAACGTTTGACCTTAAGTTTTCAGCAAATATAAATCATTTTAGCATTTCCAACTGACCACGGTTTCCCTTGACCAAAAGCTACTCTTTCACTGACACAGAGAATTCAAGATATTCAAATAGGGTGTTGCTGCTTTCATACCCAAATTAGATATGAGATTTCTTGCATAGTGGGGCGATGGTGTTGTTGCTGTTTAGTTTTCAACTTAAACAGTGTTTTGAAACTGATCGGTGTCTCTTCTTCCATGTTTTTTTTTTTTTTAAAGGAAAACTTTTTCAATAATTAATTTTGCGGGACGCACAAATAATAGTTAACAGAGGACAGATTCTCCTCTTGTTCTAATCGATTTGTTGCTCATCACCTCGGCCGGTGCGGTTGGGTGGTAATTTCCTGGTAGGTTTCCTGTTGTGCTATTATTTCCCTCTTTCAGATCATTAGGCATTGGTGTACTTTGTTAATTATATGAATATTGAAGACGAACGGATGCAATACATTTTTTTGGAGGTGTCCGAATTAAACGGCTGAATGCACATGCATGCAACAATTTGCAGATTCTTGCATCTCTACTTTGTATTGGTCTCTTAGATTTCCAATAAAACATACTGAGGTTTGTAGCTAGAATGTGAGACATTCACTGCGTGTCGTCTCCTTCTCTCTCTGACCTCCTTCCTGTCAAGCTACTGTTGAATAAAGGCTGTAAAAAATCTTGTCTGGAAGATAAAATGAATAAATTTACTAATGCCCATTCATTTTTTTGTTGTTGTTGTTGCTAAAAAGACAGTTTCAGGTTTATGGATAAAATAAAATGTACTTTACTAATCCCAGAATTGGGAAAATGTTGAGCAGCAGCAGCAGTATGGCATACAGAAGACAGTCAATGTAAGTAAGAATGAAATACAAAATAAAATGCACATTTTTACACAATAAAGTGGTGTTAACCACCATAGAGCAGTGGCACTGACATCATACAAAAGATCCAGTGTTTGATAATCTTTGGTGGGCAAGTCGACTCGACATGCTGGTGAAAGTTTGGCAGGAAAGTGTTCAAATGGTTGAAATCCCCTGTGTTGACCATGAATGCATTTGGGTGGTTAGCCAGTAAAGTTGAGGTGGTAGAGCTCTAATTTATGTTTTTAAGCAATTCTTTGTAGATGTATCACATTAAAACACCTGAGCCTTGGTGGTTTTGCTTATTTCCCCGTCCTCCCCCCAATATCTGCGCCAGTCATTTTAGCTTTGTTGACAAGAATTAAATGAGCTGGTTGATAATTACCACTGAGAGCTCGGTGAATGTTTAGAAAGGGATGCGCCCGACCCGTGCACATACCGCTCAGTGTGGGAAAGGTTACAGACAGCCGTCATAGAAAAACTATTCATTTTCATTTCCTATTCCCCTCTGATCAGAAAATACACAGACTCAAACACACATTCAGTTGTTTATTGACTCCAGTTCAATAGACATCAAACACTTTCTGTAGCTATCAACAGGTTAAAATTCAACATAATTCTGGTTGGATATTTTAACATTTCTTTTTTTTTTTTTTTTTTTTTACAAAGTTTACTGAAAATGCTAACAGTTTCAGTAAAGGTCTTTCCAGAAGCTTTGTCCAAACTCTCCCTCTTAGATGAAAGGAAATAACTTTTGGTATCAATGACTGCTAACTGGAAACCAGATCAATAAATAAAGTATCACACACTCCTTTGCTGAAGGCTATAATTGACACCAATCAGCCACAAGCTTGTCTTCACACCTTATGTTTCACACTTTGGTTTTACTCGTCACATGCATCTGCAAATCAAGACTATGAGTGCAAACGCACGTTTCTAACACACACAATGAGAAACTCATCTTATTTCACTTCATCTGTGCAGCTTCGTACTCTGAATAAAACTGAAACATTGTTGAGGATGTAGAAGTCTGGACACAAACTACCAATATCACTTCTCTTCTTTACATAGTACAGCTCTTAGTAGGAATGATGTCAGACCTTCCTGGTTTTATGTAGAGGAAAGACTGACAGCAGTGATACTCGGCAAAAATTTATATTTAATCATTTCCAGTCAAAAAACACACATTGCGTCGTTTGTGATGTAAAGACAACGTTCTATTATAAGGCTCTGTAAGCTGACCTGTAACTAACCTGAAACACTAACTTCAATGAATTTAACTTACAAAGAGGCCAACAATGTGACGTAGGAGTGAATTTCTGTTCAGCTCCTCCGAGTCGAAGCTTGCAAGAAGAACTGCAGTTACAGCTGCAGAGTGTTTAGAGTGTCTCTCTTGACCAAGATTGTAAAAATAGCTTAAGTTCAGCCAGATCAGATGTAGAGCATCTTAGAAGATCAACTTTAAATTCTTGCCTCAGTTTCTTAATTGGAAATAAGTCTCGACTTTGATTAGGCTGCCCAACTTTCGTGTTGAAAGCAAGCATTCCCTTGACATGATGCTGTCGCCACCATGGACGGTGAGTTCAGGTTGGGTGTGGCTCACCTTCTTCCACATGTTTGTTGCAGCAGACTTCTTTTACCGTTCACAATTTCCATATGGGCAAAATCTGCATGGCAGTAGTTGTCCATCTGTGGATCTCTACAGCTCCTCCAGAGTTACCACGTGCCTCTAATTATTCTCTGGGGAATGCTCTCCTCTTTCATATCGTAACCGTTCTTTAACTCTGTCTGTTGTGTTCCTTCATGATGCCATTTGTTCTCAAACAAACCCCTCTGAGGCCTTCATAGAACAGCTGCACTTAAACTGAGATTAAATGGATGCCAGTGGACACCGTTCACTGATGAGGCTACTCCTGAAGACTGTAGGTTGTTCATACAGGGGTGTAAAAGGAGCTGCATGTTCAGCACACCTTACAAATATAGCTTTGTAAAAAAAACTGTTACATGAATTATTTTGGTCTAGGACATGAAATTAGAGATGTGCCGATCAGGTTTTTTCCTGCTGATTCCGATTCCGATCACCCATGAGGGCTGATCACCGATACCGATCACATAATAATTATTTTTTTAA